GGATCCCCATAATAAAGATCACAGATTTTTGGGGGGTCATATTGGAGTCCCTTGATCCTCAGGAAACTACCAAATCTCCTTCCCTAAGAGTCCAAGGACTTCAATAATAAGGTGTCAAGGTCCAAATACTATGATCCGAATGATATTTGGGACCTAAGGCTCTAATATTTGGGTCCTCGGACGCTTGCGGTTCTAGACACTAAATGCTCCTAAACCATAAACCCTAAACCCGATCCTCAACCCCAAACCCTGAAGTCCCTCAACCCTAAATCCAAGTTTCGAGGAAGTCGCGCATGCTTGGGACTGAGCAATTGCGCATATAACTGGGTTTATCAAGGCCCATAATTCGGGTAATTCTGTTGACGCCTTAAAGGAGGATGATTTAGAAGTAGGGTTCAGGGTTTAGGGTTAGAAGCCCACTTATTCCCGAAGCGCTGAAACCTAACTAAGCCTAAATCCCAAATCCTACACCCTAAACCCTGTAGTAGCTTCCCAAACTGTTGTGAAGTCCCATGAACCTCCAAAAAGCCAGGTTGAGGAGCCTCCCTCAAAGCGCTCAAAAACCGAGGGCCATGGTGACCCTGCTCCTGGATTATTGTTCAGCTGAGCTATAGTCCAATACCTGGAGTAGCCAGTGTACCTACAAAAGGCTCGTGTACCTAATACCCCAAACCTAAACGTTAACCTATGGGTACATTTGGGTGGTTGTCAAAATTATGATCCCTTTTTGGGTCCCTATTGTAATACAGCACCTAATAATTAGGGTACCCAAAAAGGGACCATAATTTTGACAACCACACGTTTACCTTTAAGGGTCTAGGCCGAGGTAGAGGTAACAGGGTTATCGGGACTTTCATGTAAAGCTGGAGGTTGCTTGGAGGTAATAGGGTTGAGACATGTTGTGGCTGCGCCTGTACTGCCACTTGAAGCATTTCGATGGGTAGGTAGGTTGAGGAGTATTACATCTACATATAGTACCCCTTAAGTAGATATAATACGGGCTATAGCTATATGCGGATCTTATTATGACATACCCAAAGCCATATTCTATCTTCTGAAGGGGGACTAGACATTCTTTACCCGAATAGCAGAAAGAAAAAAGCGAGGATTTGACTGGGATCTCTATTATCACACCCATTGGGGGGGGGGGTTATTACTCACGGGACTACATTACCGCCTTAAAGCTCTACCTTAAGGCAGGAGCTCGACATGCAAACGCCCATAATAAGTCGAAAGTCTCCTTGAGTAGATAGAATATACTTTTGGGTATATGATAATAAGATCCCCATATACTCCATATTCGGTCTACTTACGGAGGACTATAGGGTTTAGGGCTTATATTGAATAACAGCCCCTATACCCTAAACCCGGTAAGCCCTAAACCATATACCCCCTAAACCTAGAAACCTATAAACCGTAAAGCCTTCAAACCCTATACCCTATGAACCCTCCACCCTAAATCTTATGAACCCTCAACGCTACACCCTAGAAGACCTAAACCCAATAAACCCTCAGCACTAGACGGTACAAACCCTAAACGCTATGAACCCTCAACCTCAAAACCTATAAACCCACAAAACCCTACACCCTACAAACCCTAAACCCGCTAAACCCTCTAAACCCTCGACCCTGAACTTGTTAAACCTAAAACCCTCCAAACCCTAGACCCTATAAACCCTAAACACTATAAACCCTAAACCCTGAACCCTATAAACCCTCAACCCCAGAAGCCCTATAAACCCTCAACCCCCTGAACTCTCTACACCCCATAAACCCTCTGAACCCTATAAACACTATAAACCCTAAACCCTATAAACCCTACAAACCCTTTACTCCCCAAACTCCTCAACCCTGTCAACCCTAAACCCTAAACCCCTAAATCCTAAACCCTAAACCCCCTAAACCCGAAAAGCCTCTAATCAGGATCCTGAAGGGATCAATGCGCAGCTGGCGGAGCTTTTCGGCGACGATGTCGAGGAATCTGGGCTTCAGGGATTTAGGTACATCCCGCAGGTGCTCCTACACACTAAACCCTAAAGCCCCAAAGCCCTAAACCCTAAGCCCTACACCCTAAACTCTAAAGCCCAAAAACCCTAAAGCTCAAAAACCAGTGCTTGCGAAGCTAGGCGTCCTGAGCACTATTGAATTCTGAATCCCATAAACCCCCTGTGCCATGCATCCTATACCTGGAGTAGGCTTTCAACCCTCAGACGCCGGGATGTCAAGGGCCCTAAGAGTCCATGTATCCAACCCTAGAAGCCCAGGTACCCATATAGTAGGTTCTTGGGTTATAGATAGTAAAAGATTATATAGGGAACCAAGGACAGGAACCCACTACATAAGGTAACCGGGCTTGTAGGGCAACTATTAGGGTTTCGGTGCCGAAAGCCATTCAGGTTGTAGCATGTTGGGCCGGTTGTTTCCCCACCTGTCACCATCCCAATGCAGCCAAAGTCGAAAAACACGAGCCTCATCCAAGAAGCAGAAATCTTCAACCCTGCCCAACCAACTTGTTTTCAATCAGTTGCGTTTACACGTGCTTCTGCCCACGAATTCGTGTAATGGACAACAAGTTCCCACGGTTCCAACTGATCGCTGTCATCGCTGTGGACGATACATCGACGCTCTGTAAATTCAACAAACCCGAATGCCAGGCCTCAAAATCAGAATTCCCCCAGAAACCCTACCAAGCTCCAAAAACAAGGCCTTCAAAGCTAATCCACGACCCCTAAATCCTAACTTCACATGTTTTAGTCAGCCGTTCACTGCTTCTCACAATAAGAATCCTTACATTACGGCTCTATTCTTCTTGGTCGGGACAAGAGGTCATTGAAGTTGGGTAGGGCTCAGAGACCTTATGTGAGGGGACCCCTTTTGAACGCCTTTTTTTCGACTCTGTCAGCGCCCAGGCACACTTTGAGCAGCTCTACATGATATCTGTATCATTCCTTTCAAGCGCATCTGAATCGACGATCAATGGTCACTCCCGTTCCAGGCGAACACAAAAATGGTAAACACCTCCTTTCAGACATGTGCAGGTTTTGTGCCAGCCTTTGGCATAGGCGATGAGCCTCCTATCCTAGGCCCGGACGCCTAATACCTAGATGCCTTTGATCCTACCATAAGGCATTAACCCGAGACCTTTACTCCATTACACTACTTGCAGGTTCATGCGGTGAAAGAAAGTAGAAACAGATTGTAACCCTACTTATCATAGCTCAGTAATAAGTAGTTACTAAGTCCCATGAGCCTCCAAGTATAGCCAGTGCCCCAATGTTGTTACTGGTATACGTTCCCTACGCCATCATTTGGTTTGGGCAATGCGCCCGAAGGTATTTGCGTACTTGGACCCTAGGGAACTGTAGAAGCCGGAAAGTCCTTATTATAGGGACGCCCAAAAAAACGTATCCCTTATTTTGGGAAACGCCCATATAGAGTAAGATTATATCCCCCTTTGGGGGCATAGTATTTTTGTAAGGAATACTTGCCAGGTTCCACCACCACAAAACGCTACTCATGTGATTCGGCGAGCAGGGGTAGCATACACGACCTACTAGAATACTGGCATTTAAATGTCAAACCCCAAGGGCCCATGTAGCTATATAATACATGTACCTAGGCCCCACAAGGGTTCCCATATAATTACGGTAGGGCCCAAGTATATAATATATACTATATAGCTACATGGCCTCTTTGGGAAATGCTCGATATTGTTTTATTGATGTCTTTAAAAGCTAGGGCGGCCCTTGGCCGAGCCATGCGCAGGAACCCGAAACCCTAAACCCAGTATGAAGGATCTGTTCTCCTGTTAATATGCTCGGGTATAAACAAAGAGGTTCTCCGAGATTCTCTCCTTGTAAAAAGCATCTATAGCTGTGTTATAAAAAAAGCTATACACTGACATAGTAATGGAATTAAAAATTAGGTCGCTTGGACCCTCAACCCCACCCTAAACCCTAAACCCTAAACCTCATAAACCCTAAACCCCACACCTGCACCTGAAACTCTAAACTCTTTGAGCATATAGTCGCCCTTAAGCAGATAGAACGTCGCCTATGTCAGTAAAAGATCCCCATATACCACGTATTCTGTCTACTTA